ATGACTTACAAGCTTTAATTTCATACAGAAGCATGAGTGGATCGTATAAAGCAACCTGTGGCATTTTTTCTAACAAGAGATGCTTTGTCCCCTGCAAAGTGCAAAGTAATCGGAAAAGCTTCAGAAAGGCTCAACGCAACAGGGAATGGATTCTCCATACTCCAAAGCACAATGTTGAAAAATAAAGAAACGAAAAAGTTATGGGAGCACCGCTACTACATAGCATTGTTGGTCTACAAGAGATATAGGAACTGAGCCAGATTCCAGTAGACCAAGATCTATCAATGCCTAAAAAGCAGCATTACTCTATAATAAGCTGTGAGAAACAAACCTTCTTTTGTGGTATAATTGCTCCTGTTAAACAAATGGGAGTGTAGTTTTTAAATATGGGTTTTCCCAAACAAGCTATGGATTACACCAATGTAGTTTTGTGCAACCCTAGATATTCCAATGCTAAAAAAAACACTTTTATGTTCCTCCAACTGGTAATTAAATTATAATGAACACATTGGTTTTTTTCTTGTTTCAAATCAACCTTTATCATTGTATTAATTAATCTGTAGCTGGAATTTTATAATTATACCAACAAACCAAGACCATTTTATTTTTTTAAGCATGTATTACACAAATGAAAATTATGCAAGGCAGTGGATATTAATTAAGGTGGTTGGTGTGACCAATGCAATCAACCTTCAGTTTCATAAATTCTTGCCAATTAAGTGGTGTTCCAGAAAAGGCTGTGTTCATTTCACGGTCTTCTTGTTGTCAAAGACTTACAAACAAAAGTGATTTTATTATTATTATTTTTTGTGAAAGAGATTGTTTTTAAATGTTAAAATTTAAATGTCAAACTAAATAAATAATATTTTTTAATGATGTTTGTATAAATTAATTAAACTAATATCTGAATTCATGACCCCATCATTTTTTCTTGCAAATTTTATTCAGACACTCAAAGAAATTTGTAAACTTACATATCTTTTATCAGAAGTACTAAGCAACGTATCGCATGGATCGTAGTCAAGTAGTAGTATTTGTATTGTAGATTCCACATCTTTTGATACCTGACACATGCTAGCTTCCAAATTCCAGTATTGGAAATAGAAATTGATAAGCTAATGTGGTCCACTATATATTTTTTTCACTTTCGTTTTCATTCCCACTCATTTGGCAACTATTGTTTGGCATTTTTTTTTCTGGATTCGAGTTACAGTGTAAGCCAAAATTTTGTTCTCCCGAGATCCTACTGCAAACCCAGGACACAATTTTTGGACAAGTTGAGAAAAAAAAAATTATAGTTTCTTTATTAATAATCCTTGCTATCATACTATCAAAAAGAGAAAAATAAGTAGTAAGTAGTAATAGTTGATAAATTTCTTCAAAATTATGATATACATGTAGGCGAGGGTCTGTTAATTTTTGCTATTTTTGTAGCCTGCGCAAATGCTTAACATTTTGTCTCATTAGGAAAAAGCAAGTTGCAGGAATGAAAAATCTTTGAGACAGGAATCAGTTCAAAAGTATTCAAAAGAAAATTTGTACCAAAATCACCACGCGATGTTCATCAATATGTTATAGATATAATTATTTTCAAACCATAATTGCCATTTGTAATCATCTTTCGATACAGTGAAAAATTTGCATGCCTGCAATTGAATTTAACTCTCACATTGAGAGTTAATTATTATGTGTTCTTTGTGTTTTTTTTTTTTTTTTGCATTTGTTTTTTTTATTGTTTTTTAAAAACTAAGATTAGGACTCTAATCCTAACAATTGCTATCATACTTTTAGATTGTAATTTAAAGCTTTGACTAGCGAATATGGTTCACTACATGAAATTGAGAAGTTTAAAATGTATAGATTTTGCTTTGAGGAAAATTGCAGATAGAAGATTATTTGTATGATAAAAGGCTGCATCCAACTCTTTCAGGTATGAAACCAGAAATAATGTCGTACAATATTGATTGGAATCTTTTATTCACAATGATGGATTTATGATTTTTTTTTACTTATAATATATATATATATATATTTACCAATAAATTTATAAAATTTGTCAATGTAAAAGATATTCATGAATTTTTTTTTGAATATTTATTAGAAAATATTTCTACAAAATTTCATTTGAATATGAGAAAAGAAAAACTTCGATAGCAATCCTTCTTAACGAGTTCAACACATTATTAATCAATTATCTTCTATTGAAATTGATCTTAATGATAAGATTTGTGCCTTAATTTTTTCTTTTTTTTACTTCTTCACCAAATGATAAAGTGCTGACGAAGGTAGCAGTTACTAATATATTTTTTAAAAATATTTTATTTAAAGTTTTTAAAAATAATTTTTTAATATTTTAATCAATTATAAATAGAAAATAAAGATATCAAAATTTAAAATTTTAACACAACAAACGAAAATTGGATTGGGATAGAAGAAGTGTATGAATTCATTACTTATTTTCATTTTAAAACATGATGCATATATTTGAATGTGTCTTTTTTTAAAATTAAAAAAATTGAGTTGATTGTTATTGTTTTTCGAAAATGACAAAAACAAGCTTTCTGATTTTTTATGAGTTCAAGGATATTAAAAGTCCCTACATTATAATTAAAAAATAATTTAAATTTACATTTTTTATTACAATTAATTAATTTTTTAATATTCATTTGCATTTAATGAAAATTTTATTTGAATGAAAAACTTACTAATGTTATTTTTTTTTTGCTAATTAAGAAATTTTTTATGATATTAATAAAATAAATAAAAATTTATCATTTAATATATAAAAAATTAAATAAAATAATTTTTTGGTAAGATCCTATAAGGGTTTAATTAACTGTAATTTTAAAATTTATTGATTTCATTTTACCATGTTGCTAAATTTTATTCAATTAAAAATTTAATTAAATCAAAATTAAAAATTAAAAATTTAATTAATTATAATAAAATTTGAAGAATTTAAATAATTATTAAATTTCTATTCAAAAATTTTTAATCTTTTTAACTTTTCTATTTTAAAAACTGACAAAAGGGGTAAAGAAAATCTTTCTATTTCAAAATTTTAATTAAAATTTCTATTTTAATATTTCTATTTTCCTTGTCAAAGAAAATCTTATTATAATTAATTAAATTTTTAATTTTTAATTTTGATTTAATTAAATTTTTAATTGAATAAAATTTAGTAACATGGTAAAATTAAATCAATAAATTTTCAAATTACAGTTAATTAAACCCTTGCAGTTAATTAAATCCAACTAAAGAGAAGAAGGTTTCAAGCAGCTGAAGGCAAGGACAGTGGTGGAAAGTGCAGGAAGTCATGTCAGATTCTGACCTTTCCGACACACCACAATCGGACTGTTCAAAAAAAAGAAAGAAATAATAAAGTTTCAATCCCATTAAGTTAGTATTTCTTTTCTTTTTTTTTTTTTTTGAAATTTTTGATCACCTGCGGTTCACCCACTATGCACCTTCACCAGTTTTCGTGGTACTCAGCGGTTCAAAATCGTTTCACCAAGTCTTACGATAGATGGTACACAGAAGATGGTAGCTTTTCAAATTCGAACTTCCCTACTGAGCGGGGGAAGAATCTTCAATTCTCCGTGTACAGACGCTACCCGCCTCCACCTCAGAGTACCGTAACGACCACGTGGCAGACTCTTTGCCCTTTGCTTAAGGTTCTCTGGGCCCCAGCCCTACCACTACCAAGTACCGGTAGTATGTTTTTTCGTCCAACCAAATTATAGTTTAAGCTTAAGCTTTAACTCAAGTCAAAAACATAATTATATTTTATATATAAGATTATTAATAAGATAAAATAATAATGATTTTATATTATATTATATTTATATATAAAAAATTAAAGATTACAAAAAAATATTAATATACTTTTGACATAAATTATTCAATTTTCTTGGAATAAATAAAATTATTTTTAATTTATGAAATTAAAATTATATGTTTAATTATATTTTTAAAAATTATATTAATAATTTAAATCATATAAATTTTAATAAATAAATAAATTATTTTATCTTAATTATTACATACATCAAATATAAAATAAAATAATATTATTTAATATAATATTATTTACAATATCATTTTATTTTATTTTATTATAATTTTATATAAAAAATGATAAAAAAGCTAAAAATAATATTGATTTTATTAAGGATTTTGATCTAAGCAGCAAATATAGTTTTACTTTTAGTTGGAATCTTTTGAGATGCGAAAGGATATAAAAAATAATTTTTTATTAATTTATTAAATTTAACGTAAATAAATATATTTAAATTGATCCAAAAAAAATGAAACGAAATAAAAAAATCTCTTATTCCTAAAAAATATCATGGATTAATTGCCCTTCCAAGTTCCAAGTTTAATAGCCTTTTTTTTTAGGCAAAAAAATTTTTTAATAGCCCTTCCAAACTACTGGACTGCGGACATAATTAAAGAGTAAATGCTTCAGTGTTTTATGTGAGTTTTTCAAATATAGATCAAATGGATGGTAATCTAATTTTTTTCGATTTAATTCCAAATTAGTACTATAATCAAATTTGATTATTATTGTCAATTATAGTTGTTGTTAGCAAATGGACGCATGCAAAACTCTCATTGCCAGCCTATTTTTCCATTGACAGAGTAACTGACATACCGTTTGTTGTATGAGTGGACGCACGCTAGCCCAGCTTCCCTCTTGGGAAATCTGTTATCAGTAGGAACGTGGAGAGCGTCAAAGGTGAAACAAAGTCTCCCGAGTCCTGACACTTTCTTCGTCACCTGAACCTACAAACACTAACATGCAACTCAGCCTTTGTTTTTTCATTGTTAATGCTCTTTTTAAAAGCTCAATATTTCCAACGGCCCACACTCCTTTCTTTCTCTTTTTTTTTTTTTTTTAATTTTCGTTTTTTGGTTGTAGCCTCTCTTTTATTTTTTTACCCCTCTTTTGGAGGAAGGCATGGACATTACTGCATCTTTGTCCTCTTCCTTACCAGCTTCTCTTTGTCCGAGAGAGTGTGACTTGAGGAGAACTGAGAAAGCGAAAAAAAAAAAGAAAAGCTCCTACTATTGCCTGTGAGTCAAGAAAGCAAACAAACAAGTGACCAGCCCAAAGAATCAGAAGCCTTTTTTTTTTTTTTCTTTCTGAAGAGCAAAACAACCCATTTTCTTGTAGCTACCATTCTTGAGTTGAAATTCTGAAACCAAAAGCATGGATTTCACGTTACCTCTCTTCGTTTTCTTTATTCTCTTCACAACTCAGTTTTGTTTCAATGCAAGTACTGAGCTGAGAGCACTCATGGATATGAAAGCTGCTTTAGACCCCGATGAGAAGTACCTATCTTCATGGACCAGCAATGGTGACCCTTGCGATGGTTCTTTTGAAGGCATTGGTTGTAACGAGGAAGGACAAATAGCCAACATTTCTTTGCAAGGGAAGGGGCTATCTGGCAAGGTCTCACGAGCTATTGCTGGGCTTAAGCACTTGGCAGGCCTTTACTTGCATTACAACTCTTTGTACGGAGAGATTCCAAGAGAAATAGCTGACTTGACTCTGCTTAGTGATTTATATTTGAATATGAATAATCTCTCTGGTGAGATTCCTCCTGAGATTGGTAACATGGGTAGCTTGCAAGGTAAGTGCTATTTTATTTTGTTTATAAAATTTGAAATTTCTGTTCTATTTACCACCGATTTTCCAAGGTTAAAGGTAGCTTTTGTAGAGAGCTTTGTGCTTTTTTCTTCGCGTGTGTATCTTCATATCTCCTTTTTAAACTGGGTTTTCTTTGTTTTGGCCAATGATTTGTTTGTTGAACTGAAAGAATTTCAAATCTTGCTATGTTTGGATTCTGAGAAAATTTATTGACAGACTGTGAGACACACTGGCATCTGCCTCAAAATTAATGTCATATTTTCTCATTTAGGAAAACAAAATAACATGGCAAAAACTTAAAATTTACTCGAGTGTTCCTCTTTACAGTTCCCTTTTTGTCCCTGCTGCAAAAAAAAAAAATGTTTATTTCGCAAGGTTGGATGTAGAGTTTTAAGGAACCTGAAAATGATTGAACTTTTAAACCCATGATACATTTTGTGTCTTTGGTCATCACGTAACTGGTGTTTTTGTTTTGTTTTTTTTTTTTTTTTTTGGGGCGTATACTCTGTAGTGTTGCAACTCTGTTATAACGAGCTCACAGGAAGTATACCGACACAGCTGGGATCTTTGACGAAGCTTAATGTTCTTTCTCTACAGTCCAATCAACTTACTGGTGCAATCCCTGCAAGTTTAGGGGATTTGAGTTCATTAATGAGACTTGATTTGAGCTTCAATCGTCTCTTTGGTTCAATCCCTTTGAAACTAGCTGATGCTCCTCTGCTTGAAGTTCTAGACATCCGGAACAATTCTCTTTCTGGCATTGTTCCTCTAGGTAATCGTCTTTTTTGTTGTATCCTTAGTTGATATTCAGCTTGATCTTACGACTAAAAATGAACTCCATTTGATTTTTTCTTTCTTTTTTTGCTCTAGCCCTTAAGAGACTGAATGATGGATTCCTGTTTCAAAATAATCTGGGACTATGTGGGTCTGGTTTTTCATCACTGAAACCTTGCAATGCTTCTGATCATATTAATCAAAGCAGACCTGAGGTGTATGGCCCGGGGGCTACTGGTCTTCCTAGAGAAATACCTGAGACAGCAAATCTGCAGTTGCCTTGTGAGCAAACTCAGTGCTCAAAGCCGTTGAAATCACAAAGTGGTCCTATTCTTGTTGGCCTGATCGTTGTCACAGTTGCATTATTAGCTATAGGAATCCTCACATTCACACAATATCGTCGCCGGAAACAGAAGCTTGGTAGCTCATTTGAAATTTCTGATAGCCACCTTAGCACTGATCAAACGAAGGGGGTTAACAGGAAGAATGGCTCTCCACTCATTAGCCTTGAGTATGCTAATGGTTGGGATCCTTTGGCTGATGGCAAGAATTTCTGTGGCTTTGCCGAAGATGTCCTTCAAAGCTTTAGATTCAATTTAGAAGAGGTGGAGACAGCGACTCAGTACTTTTCAGAGGTAAATTTATTGGGGAAGAGTAACTTTTCTGCAACCTATAAAGGGGTTCTGAGGGATGGATCTGCTGTTGCTATTAAAAGTATTGGTAAAACTAGTTGCAAATCTGATGATGCACAGTTCTTGAAGGGATTGAATATTTTGGCTTCATTGAAGCATGAGAATTTAGTGCGATTGAGAGGATTTTGTTGTTCAAAGGCCAGAGGAGAGTGCTTTCTCATTTATGATTTTGTCCCCAATGGTAATTTGCTGCGCTATCTTGATGTGAAGGATGGTGATAGCCGGGTCCTGGAATGGCCCACCAGAGTTTCCATCGTTAAAGGCATAGCCAAAGGTTGGTTTAGTTTTGCCTTTATCCCTTGCAGGTTAAACAACTGGTTTCCACTTAATTTGTTTAATTATGTCTCAATGCTTCTCAATATGGTCTCTAGAAACTCCTTGAAGCTGTTTAAGTTGTAATTTATTATTGCAGTGATACCGAATGCCTTGTGTTTATGATAGACCAACTGAGCTATATTCTTTTCTGGAGCAGGTATAGCATATTTGCATGGCTACAAATTAAACAAACCCGCTCTCATTCACCAAAATATTTCAGCTGAAAAAGTGCTCATTGATCGGTGGTTCAGTCCACTGCTTTCAGATTCTGGCTTGCACAACCTCCTTACCAATGACATTGTCTTCGCATCACTCAAGGCCAGTGCTGCTATGGGTTACCTAGCTCCTGAATACGCTAGTACTGGCCGTTTTACTGAGAAGAGTGACGTTTATGCATTTGGAGTTCTTGTTTTCCAAGTCCTTTCTGGTAAACGAGAAGTCGCCAGCGTGGTCAGACTTGCAGCTGAATCTTGCAGATTCCAGGATTTTATTGACCCAAAACTCCAAGATAGGTTCTTTGAATATGAAGCAGCTAAACTTGCAAGAATCGCTTGGCTTTGTACTCATGACTCTTCAATAGAAAGACCATCCATGGAAGCAGTCGTTCAAGAACTGGGTAACTGCAGTAGCTGTCTCTAGTTTCTTCAATCCTTACCCTACCAAATTTTCTAATGGTGCTCATAAGCAGGAGATGATGCGTCACTAACTGTTAACTCTCACTGGGGATGAAAGGAGCATGCTTAATTTGTGTCCTCTTGCTGAGGACTAGGCCTTTTAAGTGTTGTGCAGTATTCAGGGATTTTGTAGGGGATTTTCATGTGAAATCAACCTCAGTCTTTGGAAATTTTGTAGAGTGATGGATTTTCTTCCATTAGCAGAACCGTTGTCAGTTGTAACCCTACTTAATATTCATTTCCAAGGTTTCTCTAGGCTCTTGCTTATCCGTGTGTGTTTATTTTAAGCAATGCCAAAATCGTCAATATGGAACAAAAGATAAGATGGAACAAAACACTGGCGGTAATGTACAAACAACTGAGGTTCAAATCTGCTATTTGAACAAAGTGCTCACCGAAGTTAACTGATACTTTTAAACCTTATTATCTGAACCAAAATCTTCGAATTGTTTTTTTGTTCTTTTTTCTGGTAAAATTTCCTACAAATTTCCAACATTTTGAATTTGAACAAACTGCTCACCGAAGTCAACTCCCCGATCAAGAAAGTAGAGACAGATTAGGAGGTCCTTTTAAACTAATCCAAAATCAAGTAATAGAGGGTAATCATGTTTTTTGGGCATTTGAATTTCTTGAGGTCTTTTTGAAAGGAAATTCCATACAACGGGACACGAACATGGTACCTTCACAAATTAATCTGCTTGTCTTTGATACATGTGAAAAGTTCATATTGCCTCCACCAGAATCAAAGCACAGTGGAATCATTACTTTTTTTTTTTAATCTTCGAGACGATGATTTACTGTATATTAATAGCTATTTAAAAATTAAAAACTCTCCAATAAACTAAATTTGACTTGTACTAAAGACCTTACATTCCATTTGGTTGGCAGGAAGGCAGGGGAAAACTGAAAAGCTGGACTTTTTCCAGTCCACCAAAGGAAAAAGGAAGCAATGCCAAATCTAAGCTTCAATTCCTTTCCCCTGTGGAAACCTGATCCTGAACACATGCTCTTCCCCAGTGCATTTATCCACCTTTACAACCCACTGACTTTTCCTTCCGAAACAACCATCAATTTTGGCTTTTGCTGTGATTCTAGTCACTAGCAGCCCTTCTCCTATAGGCAACAACTGAGTGTTCGATCCACTGAACCGCCATGAACCTTTGGAAAAAGTATTATAGCCAACAACAACAGCCCCCCTGCGTCTCTTACCTGCCTGCACTGCTCTAAGAACTCCTTCATGATTATCCAGGTTGCAATCAGTAAGAACAAAATCTGCTTCCTTATAGTGGCTTAACAGAAGATTTTTAGCTTCACCAACAACAAACTCAACACGGCATGCATCGTAGCCTAAGATTTTCTTGGATAGCTGAAGTTCTTCAATTCCAGGAAGGATGCAAACTACATGGCCTCCAGTTTGGTGAGCAGCGACCACCAGGGCTAAAGCGGCAGAGTCGGCAGCACCAGCACATGCCACAACCATTAGTTGTGCATTGTTGCCAGCTGCAAGGGCTGACACGAACTCGGCTACGTTTGGTTCTTTAACATTTTGGCCCTGCAGAAAGATTAATTGAAAACCGAGTGAGATATGATTGATAGAGAAAGTGAAATGGGAACCAGACAATAAAAGAAGAACGACCGTCTCACATATCAAGGAAACTTACCATTTTCAAGGTTTTGAGGTATGCTTTTGTGGCATTCTCAGCAGACCAGAAAGCCATCTCTTTTTTTGTTTTGATGCAGATTTTGGATAGAAGTAGCTTAAGGGTTGTACAAAACTTTCCTCAAATGATGGATGTCTTGGTCTATGAAGAATGGGCTTATATATAGGAGGAGGATATTATTGAAGAGTGCCATGTAAATCCAACTGGCTATGTTTAAAAATTATAAAGAAAAAGGACAGGCTCAAATCTTGCCGTTAATAACAAACGTTTGAGCTCATCTGGTGGATCTCCAAAGTAATTATGAAATCCAAGCTTAGGAAATAAAATTAAGTGCGTTGCACAGCACTGAATATGCAATAATGGTGTATTTTATGAACATGATTAATATTTGACACATCTAACCTTAAAATCAGTGTATGATTTATGTAGTGTCTATTTGCACCGTACCACTTTCCCATTTCCTTACCACTCAAATTGCTAAGTATATGTTTTAATTCCATATTAGTTAGAAATAAATAAATAAAAAGATGGCACTGTACACTGTAGAGAACTATATACTGTATTTGGGTATCCGAAAGGATCTTCTCTCAACTATCCGAAAGTATTTGGATATGTGAAAGAATTGAATATAAACAAATTTTACTTAATAAACGGATATATAAACTTAATCTATCCATAAATTGTTTGCTAAAATGTTCTATTCATTAACATCCTAAACATTTAAATAATTATCAAAAGTTTTCCAAGAAACTATATATATATATTTATATATATGCTTAAATTCAAAAATAAACCAGCATAAATAATTGATATTTGGTCGCTATTGTGAAAATGTTTATATATGATTGAGCTAGCTGTTGTGTCCATAATGGAAGGGACAGCAGAAATTTTAAAATGAGATTAGAAAACCCCACAGCAAAGCATTAAATTATGTTGATATCTTAGAGAAAAACAGACAAGGTTCCATGTTATCTCTGCGCACAAACCAACAAAACTCTTATTAATATCAAAACTTTGAGATTAATTATAATTAGTAGACTCCTTAAAAAAAAACAAGTTGCAAGTTGTACGCGCAGTCTATATGTACGGGTGTTTTAGAAACTTCAAAAGAAAAAAAAAAAAAGTATTTCATCACTTTGCGTTTAATGATTGTGTTTAGTCTAATTTTTCCTATGTATTAAAAGAAAAAAAAGATAATCTCATTTTTGCTGTCAGCTTATTTCAATTCATAATGCTTTTTCTTGTTGGTGCTAATAATGAAAATGAAAGTACACCTTCAATTTGCAGTTTTTAAAATTAATATATTGGTCGGTCTATTTGAGCAAGATTCTTGCTATATCAACGATAAGGTAGAAGGCTGAATTATTTGCAGACATGCATGTATCTGTTGCTTCATGCATGCCTTAATTATCTTTCTTGATGCAATATGTTAAAAAGTAGAGGTGCATGTAACTTTTACGTGACCTTTAAACAACATCTGAAAACTGATAATGAAATATTAAGTGAACTAATTTTGTGTTAAAATGCAATGAAAACAGAAGCAAATTTGTCCATTTTATATTTTTATGCATTCAAATACTCCCTTTTAAATATTCAAAGAATAAGGCACTAGTAGTATATACGTAGCTGGCTACATAATTATAAAAACTCTTATTGATCTTGGCCCGCCTCAAGAACCCTAACAGAGATCTAGATCAGATCAAGATGTCCCCCGGACGGACACATGGATGACAAAGCGAATCCTCCCATTCATTAAATTTCCTGTCTCGAGGTCTTATCTCTTGCATTTTGAGATGCCCCCGTTTGTCTGATTCTGCTCCTACTGCATGTTAGGCGAGAGCGGATGCAGTTCTTGTGGTAGAATACGTTGCACTGGTCCGGCAAACGTGTTGTTCTTGAATTTTCTTTTGTTTTCTTGCATGCGATTGGATTCCAAGAAAGCAATAAGAAAATGAAGCGAACGTGGAAGTGACAAGACAAGGAGAAATGGGGCGTGCATAATGAAAAAAACAAGTTGTGGGTAAGGGTAATTAAAGCATCCTTGTAGGGGACACGTCTGCATGTGTCCCCAATATATACTACAAAATTTTTTAATTTGGCATCTTTTATACATATAATTATAGGAGAATATTATTTACACTCGCATAAAACATGAAATTTTAAAAAATGACTCGTAAAAATTATTTTCAATTATTAAAACTTAATTTAATACCAAATATCTTTACCTTTATGTAATTGTGCGCAAAGGTGGAAGTGTGTAGCTGTAAGCCGTATATAAATGAATTTCTGATAGAAAATAGGTGTCCGTACTAAAACAAAGATATAGAAAAATGATTGAACAAAGTCAGTCATGGTGTTAGTTGTTGAGATTAATTCCAAACAAAAATTAATGAGGTTATCGATACTCTAACCGAGACGTAGTGGGTTTCTGATGCATTTTAATGTTGTTTTAGTTTAATTTAAATCTACCAATATCCTCAAATTGACAACACTTGAAACTAACATTTTCCGGCCATTTATTTTCAATAAGTTTGATTTATTTTCAACAACGTAACCACCGTTCTTTGACAGGTTCTGTTGAATTACTGCGTCCATTTCCATGAAAGCACTCATCATATTCTCGACTTCTTCAAACTCCTCTCTAAAAAGCAGCCAATCTCCCGATCAATGTCTTTCTGTCTCTCATTACCACACAACATTCTTTCCTTCATTTCGACCTCCAACGGTTTTTCCTCGGCCGCTGTTTAGCTCTGCTCTTTTTCCGACACGTGATTAACTAAATTTCTGAACTCCTGTAAACTCTTTTTTGTGTTTTTCCTCAAATTATAAATGGAAAAAAAAAATAGAACTAGTTTTGTAATTATGGAGGAAAGGTGAAGATGAGGCTGGACGGACACAGACTCCCAAGGCTCTATTCTTTGAAGCCCAAACCACTCAAAGTTCTTTTGCAGGCTGTAGTGAGTCTATTCCTCTTGCAATGGCTGAACGAGGAAGGCCCTTTCATGGATTTCACTCTCCTGGAGTCTTGGGCCTATGGCTAGATTCGGTTTTCAAGCTGAACAAAGCATGGCCCCTATAATTCGGAGATACGTTGGACAATATTTTTTTTTCTCGAGGAAAGATATATTCCACGATTATTATCTAGTCGAGTTCGAGTTCGAGTAGCTCAACTTATCGATTGAGTCGAGTTCGAGTATTCTTATACTCGGCTCGAGTAGCTCGCGAGCCTAATCGAGCTTTTATATTTAAATTTTTTTATTATTTTAATTAATAAAATATCTTGAATTCGAGTTCGAGCTCAAGCACAAATAATCGAACTCTTGTTAAATATAAGAATCAAGCTTATTTTAACATATTAATCGAGCTTAATCAAGCAAGTTCGAATAGTTCGATTTCGATCACGAATCGAGCTCGAGTTAGAAAAATGAAACTCGATTGAGTTTCAACTGAGTATCGATTCTCGAGTTGAAAGTCGAACTCGAGCTTAAGCTTCTCACTGTATCGGCTCGACTCGACTCGATTATACCTCTAACCATAACCAAAACCTTTCCTCTTATAGCAATGTTTATTTTACTTTTTACTTTGGTAGGAGTAAAAAAAACAATGTAAGAAATTAGTAACTTTTACCCGTACTTGGGTAGAAAGGAAAAATATAAGGCTCTCTCTCTCTATATATAGATATATATATTGATAAATTGTTACTTTCTCACTTTCTATCTCAAAGTACTTTAATAACAATAATTTATCTTTTTTCTCCCATAAGAGTTTAGAGATGTTGATAGGTAGGGTATGGGAAGAGTAGAGTATTCCTATCTCAATTTTCGGATTTTTATATTATACACATCTTTGTATTCATACTCATTGGGTATTTCAAATTTATCTCCATCTACATCTCTGTAAGTATTTAATGGATATATATAATTTTCCATACCGATATATTTTTAAAAAAATTATTTTTAAGCTTTTTTATTTTTAATTTGTATATTTAGATAAGTTTTTATAAATATTTATTAACATATATTTTTTAATAAAAACATATTAATTTTAATTAATCTAAAATAATAATTTATATTATTTAATAAAAAATTTATTTACTAATTGCATATAAATATATATGTAGGATACGGGTACACAACGAGTACTATATTATCATTTCCATACACTTTAAAGGAAGCACTATTCACAAATAGCCATATATAAAAGCTTTCAAGGATAGACGAACCATAACAAGCAATTTATCAATGTAATCAAACATGCACTGAAATATTTCAGCAAAAGTTGTCGGTGAAGGTTGCATGAGACGAAATCAAATTAACCAAATTACATTCATTACAACAATTTTAACAAAATATAATACTAGAAATTTCAATGAGTTAAGAGGGTTAAACTACAAAAATTCGTAGAGAACATGCAAAATCAAATCTCTGGTGTCTCAATTCATAGAAATAAATAAATACTCACCTGAAAGAAAAAAAAAATAGTTACCTCATACTACACCTATGCACTACTCTTGTTTGATTTTTTTTCTTTTAGATTTAAAAAAATAAAAAGGAAAAAATATATTTTTGCTTACAAAAGAAAAAAAGAGAGAAGAGAAACTAAAAATGAAAGAGAAAGTTTGAAAAATAATGAAAAGGCAATGAGAATATCAAAATAAGAAATAATTGAAAGATTTTTTATGAAAATTATGTCTCAAATCATCATTTGATACATTGCTGAGTTGTCCCCATTAAAACCAATTGATGACAACTTTTATATTATGTAATATATATATATATATATACACTTTTATAGGGAAATTTAATTTGCACGAAATTAGTTAATTCCATGATGAGATACAAAGTATGGCAACCAAAAATGATTTAATCAATGAGAAACTATCCGATCAAGAGAGCCACTAAAAAAAGAAGAGAAAGAAAATTGATTAGCAAAGAAGGAAAAATAATAGGCAATGCTTTTAATAAAATTGTTTGTGCCGAGCTTCGACGTGAAAATATTTTTGAAAGAACAAAAGACTAAAATAGAATAGTTAAAGATAAAGGTAGAAAGTATTCCCT